GGCGGCATTGAGCTAACACTCCCTGAGCATCTGCCGAGTGCCAGGCACAACCCTACCTGCAATCTGGGGGGCGGAGGTGTTCTAATCCCCACTTAACAGATGGGGACAGTGAGGCACGGACAGACTTGGTGGCGTAATCAGAGGGCCAGTGCAGGTGACAGGAAAGCCACTGCTGCTCCTTTCATGATACACTTTCGCATAAGGGTGACATCGCCTGAGGACACATTTCTGAGACTGTGTTCCTGTATTAAGCAACCCATGACTATATTTAATCTATTTATAAATAGGTTTTTGTTTTGTTTTTAAAAGTAGCTCGTGCACCACAACACAAATTTGAACAGCGCAGGAGGGTTTTCTTGGAAGCCTGCGCCTCCTTCCCAGCCAGACCCCAGTCCAGGACCCTCCCCCCAAAACAGCCACTGTCACCATTCTTTGGTATTTCCCACGATATTTGAATTTAACAGAAGAAAACACAAGCGAGGTGGAAGTAGGCTCTGGTCCTCAGAACAGTATTTCCCACAGGAGATGTTAGTCCCCAAATCGTGGCGGAAAGCGCCGAAGGTGGCATCCTGAGGGTTTGTCTGTCCCCACCTTTGGTCTGCAGGTGGACACGCTGTTTGACAGACGACAGATGGGGCGTGGGGGGAGGGGATGTACGGATGCCTCCGCTGTGCCAGGAGTGCTGCTTGAAGCCTGGCCCTGTCCCTGTGGCCGGCTGGGTGCACAGCTGAAGCTGCCATGGGTCACCCTCGGCTGCACCTTCCTTCCTGAACTGTCAGGTCGGAGCGCTCCCCCCATTCTTCCAGCTCCTGCCAGCCCTGAACCCGGGTGACCAGGGTGACTGGGGTGGCAGGGCTGCGGGGGTGGCTGGGAGTCTCGCTCAGCCTGGCGGTTGGATTCTGAGTTCTCAGGGCACCGGGTGGCCAGGGTGACCGTCGTGCTCAGGGAGGGCTGGGGCGCTGTCCTGTTTGAGGGCAAGGGCCGGTTGCCTTTACCCCCAAGCCCTGCTGGCCAGGCTGGGCACTGGCCCGTCCCCACCGCCACCCCCGGAGTGCAAGCAATGGCTCCCGTTCCTGCCCCCGTTTGCTGAGTCCTGGCCTGAAGAATCATTTGACCTTGAATTTCAGTTGTGCAAGCGGGAGCCCCTTGGAGTCAGCCGCCTGCTAGATTTTTTCCAGGACAGGGTGTGTGTGCCCTTTGATCTGTGAATTAGCTCTTCCTGCCCCTTAGAGACCCCTCCCGTGGGCACCTCCCTGCCCGTCTCACCTCAGGTGACGCTGATTGGCTCTTACTGCCGTAGGTCAGCTCAGGTCCACGATCCTGTACACGTGGAGTCGGGACCGCTCTTCTGTCCGGTTTCCTCACTCAGCATAATTATTTTGAGGATCATCCATGTTGCGGCATCAATCGTCCCTTACATTTTATGTATTTTTATTTTATTTTACTTTATTATTTATTTGTTTATTTATTGCATCTGGCTGGTGCAGGGACTGAAAATTCATTGCATTTTAGTGCTGAGCTTTGTTCCATTGTATGGATGAATAGACCACACGCTGCTTACCCATCACCTGTTGATGGACTTTTGGGTTGTTTCCACTTTGGGGTTATTACAAATGATAATAAATACTACTGTGTGCAGAGTCTTTATGTAGGCATGTACTTTCATTTCTCTGGATGAATACCTCGGAGTGGAATGGTATTTTTTTAAATATCATTAAGAACCTGTCCAACTAAACATGGGCTGGCCGGTTGGCTCAGGTGGTTGGTACATGTTATTGTATCAGCAAGGTCAAGAGTTCGGGTCCCCATACCAGCTGCCAAACAAACACAAAGAACCTGCCAAAGTGGCTGCACCGTTTTACGTCCCAGCCAGTGGCATGTGAGACCGCACCACATTCACCAGCATCTGCGTAGTCATCTTTCTTAAGTTTAGCCGTTTCAGTAGGTATGCAGTGGTGTCTCATTGTGGTTTTAATTTGCACTTTTCCTAGTAACTAATGACATTGAGCATCTTTTCACACTTACTTACTTGCCGTCTGTATGTCTTCTTTAGTGAAGTGTCCAAATATTTTGACCATTTATTTTAAGTTGGATTGTTTTCTTACTATTAAGTTTTTAAAAATTATGGTCTGACCCCGTGGCTCACTCAGGAGAGTGCGGCGCTGGGAGCTCCGAGGCCACAGGTTCATATCCTATGTAGGGATGGCCGGTGCGCTCACTGGCTGAGCGTGCTGCGGACGACACCAAGCCAAGGGTTACGATCCCCTTACCAGTCACAAAAAAAAAAAAAAAAATTATAACCCCAGCAAACAATTTCTTTTAGTATATATATTCATTTCCATTTCGGGCCGGCCTGGTGGCGCACTGCTACAGTGCGCCGCTTGGGAAGTGTGGTGGCGCTCCCGCCGAGGGGTCGGATCCCACATACAGACCAGCTGCTCACTGGCTGTGCGAGGTGCGGGAGCAACACCGAGGGTTGCGATCCTGTTGCCGGTCCCGGTCCGGTACGGGCGCAACACTGAGGGTTGCGATCTGTTGCCAGACACGGAAAAGGACAAAACGAAAAAAAAAAAAAAAGAGATTGACATTTTCGTTAAAAACCTTCCCCCAAAAGAAAAGGAAATTTTTTTTTTTTTTTCGTTTTGTCCTTTTCCGTGTCTGGCAACAGATCGCAACCCTCAGTGTTGCGCCCGTACCGGACCGGGACCGGCAACGGGATCGCAACCCTCGGTGTTGCTCCCGCACCTCGCTCAGCCAGTGAGCGCACCGGCCATCCCTACATAGGATATGAACCGGACGACACCAAGCCAAGGGTTACGATCCCCTTACCAGTCATCTTTAAAAAAAAAAAAAAAGAGATTGACATTTTCGTTAAAAACCTTCCCCCAAAAGAAAAGGAAATTTTTTTTTTTTTTTAAAGATGACTGGTAAGGGGATCTGAACCCTTGACTTGGTGTTGTCAGCACCACGCTCAGCCATTGAGCGAACCGGCCATCCCTATATGGGATCCAAACCCATGGCCTTGGTGTTATCAGTACCACACTCTCCTGAGTGAGCCACGGGCTGGCCCGTCCATCTCTTTGATAAAGGACTATTTAGGTTTTCTACTCCTTTGGTGAGTTTTGGTAGTTTGTGTTTTTCAAGGGGTTTCTTGAATGTATTGGCATAAAGCTGATCATAATATTCCTTTATTATCCTTTTAGTCACTTGACTCATCTTTAATCATTCATGCATTCTAAGTTGTGCATTTAAGGCTCTACATTTTTTTCTTCTGAGACTGACTTTGGCTGTATCGTACAAGTTTTTGATGAATAGTGGTCTCTCATTACTGAGCATGTAAAATTTTTAACTTTCTCTTTCTCTTGAGGGTTATCTGAAACATTATTTTTAAAAATAGACAAATCCATAATTCTAGGTGAAGACTTCAGCACCCCTCTCTCAGCAATTTATAGAGCAACTACACAGAAAATCAGCAAGGATACAGAAGACCTCAACAGCATCATCAGCCAGCAGGACCTAATCAGTGCTCACAGCCCCCGCTCCACAACAGCAGGATGCAGCTTCTTTTCAAGGACCGTGGAACATATACCACGGTAGGCCATGTCCTGAGCAGGAAATAAACCTTACCAAATTTAAAAGACTTGAAAGCATACAGAGTATGTAGCTGAATGCAATGGAATCAAACTAGAAATCAATAACAGAGAGAAAACAAGGAAATCTCCAAATGCTTGAAAAGTAAACCACACACTTCAAAATATTCCACAGGTCAAAAGAAGAAGTCTCAAGGGAAATCTTTAAAAAATCCACTAAACTGAATAAAAATGAAGATAGGACATATAAAAATTTGTGGGCTACAACTAAAACGGTGCTTAGTGGGAAATTTACATCACTGAATGCTTGTATTAGAAAAAAAAGTTATCCAGGGCCAGCCCGGTGGCGCACTGCTACAGTGCACCGCTTGAGAGCGTGACGGCGCTCCCGCCGAGGGTTCGGATCCCACATACAGACCGGTTCCCGCTCACTGGCTGAGCGAGGTGCGGGCGCAACACCAAGGGTTGCGATCCCGTTGCCGGTCCCGGTCCGGTACGGGCGTGACACTGAGGGTTGCGATCCGTTGCCGGTCACGAAAAAAGACAAAAAGGAAAAAAAAACAAACAAACCTAAGTCCACCTTAAGAACTAGAAAAAAAAGAGCAGATAGAAATAATAAAGATATGAGGGCCGGCCAGATAGCTCAGCTGGTTAGAAGGCAGCCTTATAACACCAAGGTCACATGTTCAAATCCCCATACCTGCTGCCAAAAAAAAAATTAATAAATTCATAATAATAAAGATATGAGTATAAATCATATCATAAAGTTATGAGTACACATTTTGAAAATGAAATTTCAAGCAGACAAACAAGGAAATTCAATGAAACAAAAAAGTGGATCTTTGAAAAGATCAATAAAATTGACAAACTTCTAGCAATGCCGACCACAGGGACTATCACTACAGACCCTGCAGCCATTGAAAGGATATTAAGAGAATATTATGAACAACTAACTCTACACACATAAATTTTACATCTTAGATGAAATGGAAGAATTCCTAGAAAAGCACAAACTAGCAAACCTCATCCAAAATGAGATGACCTGAGTACCCCCATAACTATTAAGGAAATTGAATTAATAACTGTTTTTTTGAGGTCTGATCTTGTTTTGTTACTCTTTAAAAATCTTATATTTGATTGGACTCGGACTTAGAAGTAGCAGCTCTCAGAGGGGACAGCTACGTCTCTTGGCATCTGTTCCTGGCGATTTTCCTTGGCTGCCCTCATTCTCTTGGCCAAAACTTTCGCATATTCTGTGGCCTCTTCCTTATTTTTGTCAGTGCGCTGCTTCTTCACACACCAGCATTTGTGTTGCAGGACACGTGGAGTAACAAGATGCTCAGTCTTGGGTGTTTTGGTCCCAGGTTTCTTCTTCGTTTAAGGGTTTTCTTACGACACACTGGCGGACAGCATCTTCTTTAGAGAGATTGAAAAGTTTGCGGATTCTGTAAGCTCTTTTGGACCCCAGGCGACGAGGCACCGTGGTAGCAGTCAGGCCAGGAATAGCCTTCTCTCCTTATTTTATAATAACCAAGTTGAGAACGCTCAGATTGGCATTCACAATGCAATCCCGAACAGATTTGCGCTTCCTTTCTCCAATTCTTCTTGGTCTATAGCAGGAGAGCCCCTGACTCGGTAGCAGGCGGACGTGGCCGTGGGTCAGGACACCCTGCTTCATGGGGAAACCTTGTTTGTTGTTCCCATCACTGATTCGGACCACAAGACCCTTCCATTCTTCACTCAGAGCATCAGCAGCAACCTCTGTGGCCATACGCTGCCCATAAAAAGTGCAAAGTTTGCATTCATCCTCCACTCAATGAGCTTCTGGCAGCCGGTGGCTGGGAAGGAGATATTCAGCTTTTTCTAGAAGCAGCTGATCGCCTCAGAGGCGCCAAGAAAATGAGGCATGAATTAGTAACTTTAAAACTCCCAAAGAAAGAAATCCCCAGCCCAGATGATTTCACTGGAAAATGATACTAAAAGTTTAAAGAAGAATTTTACACAATCTCTTCCAGAAAATAGAAGAGGAGGAAATACTTCCTAATTCACTTTATGAAGCTAGTATTTTCCTGATACCAAAACCAAAAACAATGCAAAATAAGAAAACTATAGACAAATATCCCTTATGAATATAGATGCAAAAATCCTTAACAAAATATTAACGAATAGAATTCAGAGATATAGTTATGTATAAAAAGAATTATGTACCATGAGCAAGTGGAATGCAAAGTGGATCAATGTAATCCACCGTATTAACAGGCTGAAAAGAAGAAAATCATATGATGATATCAACTGAGGCAGATAAAGTATTTGACAAAAGTTTAATTCATGATAAAAAAATTTTTATGATAAAGGCACTGGTCCGTGGCTCACTTGGGAGAGTGTGGTGTTGGTAACACCAAGGCCACGGGTTTAGATCCCTGTATAGGGATGGCCGGTTTGCTCACTTGGGAGAGCGTGGTGCTGACAACACCAAGTCAAGGGTTAAGATCCCCTTACTGGTCATCTTTAAAAAAAAAAAAAAAAGAAAAAGAAAATTTCATGATAAAACATGCATTCACAATTAGAAAAAAATAACTTCCATCCCAAGTCACTGCAAGGAAAAAAAAAATGTAAAGAACAGAAAACTTCTGGAAAAATATGAATAGAAGAGAAATATCTCAGCATGATAAACAACCCCCCAAAATCTACAACTGACATTATACTTGATGAAAGACTAAAAGCTTTCCCTCTAATATCAGAACATGGCAAGGATGTCCACTGTCACCACTCTTATTTAATGTAGTACTGAAAGTTGTAGCCAGTGCAATAAGGCAAGAAAATAAAATAAAAGGATTGAAAAGGAAAAAAATAAAACTGCCTCTCTTTGCAGAAAACGTAACTGTCTATGTTGAAAATCCCAATGAACCTACAAAAGAAAAAAAATCCTGCTACAGCTAATCAATGAGTTTAGCAAGGTTGCAAGATACAAAGTAAACATACAAAAATCAATTGTGTTTCTACATACTAGTGTAAACTAGTAGTACCAATTAATTAATTCTGCAGCACAT